GTGTGTGTGTGTGTGTGTGTGTGTGTGTGTGTGTGTGTGTGTGTATATAACTATTTCAATATAAAACTATAATATATTTTTATATTATTACTCACCATTTACTTTACTGCAAACAAAACAAAATTTTTCTTTTCCCTCGCTGTTCAGTATCATTCAGATGTTTAATAAAAATTCATTAACCTTCAAAAATTAATCTTTCAAGTTTTAATATGCGTATTAACTTCCCAATAGAACTTGTATTACACAAATGATTCTAGAGTTACACACTATTTTATATACAGTCAATTTTAATTACTTTTAAATCATTTTAAGCAAAAGTTTAAAATAAAATATTGTAAACCGAATAGTTAGAATTTGCTGATTTTCTTAAAATGAAACATGGACAAAAATTTATAAAATTTATGAGAATACTGAAACAGTAAAAGCATCGCCACCTAGTGATACTATAAGGAAGTTTACCGTTTATAAACTTAGTCGATAATTTAAATTTATTTTCATACGTATTTTATTTTTGAAATTGAATATAGTAATTATATATATATTTTATAATTCGTAATTTTATAATTTCTAATAATAATAAAATTCAGAAACTTCGTATAATACATATGAAAATAAGATATTATGATATCATAAATGTACAGATAATAAGTGCTATAAAATTATTTCAGAATTTAGACTAGGAAATATTTCAAGGGATGTACAAGGGAAAAAGTTCCTATTATTTTATTTAACGAAACATTCGTTGTATATACAATATACAATCGTCCATCTTTGGTATAGTATGTCGCATGTCAATTTAGAATCTCTATGATTCTATCAAGAAAGCATGATTAAATTGCTCTATTTTATAAAACTGTTTAAAAATTCACTTTACCATATTCTGAGTCCTGTAAAAGTACTACACATTTAACATCCTCGCTGCAACTAAAACACAGGAAAAAAGAAAAATATATTTCAGTACACTTGTATTTTTACGAAATTAAAAGAAAAGTTAAAAAAAAAGGATATCGTTAAAACCATTTCAACGTATTTAATGCTTGTGATTTTATCTCGGAATTAAACTTTACGTTCGCGATTCTTGGGACAGAAATTACATGGCAGACATGGAAATATAAATCAACATAGAAGGGCACACTTTACCGCAAAAAAGTATACAGAGAAAAAGAGGGCGTAATTAGGCGTAATATTCGCGAAGAAAAACCTTTAAATTTTCACTAATGCCGAGATATCATGTAGTAAAACGTACCAATGAAAAAGAAGCTTATGTATTACTTATAGCGTACGAGAAAAGGGTTTTAAAACGAATACTTAGTTGAGGCTAGGTAGATGAACTTTTTCGTACCGGTGAAAGACCTTACACTTCGCGTGTAGTAAAGGCTTTCAAACTGAAGCGACGATGAAACAACACTTTTTTATTCTCTTCGCATAGTCTACTCCACGTTCTGCAAGAGAAAGTTTAAACGCTTGCAGCCTTTAATTTTATATAAGCGGACCTCTGCTAGAGAAAATTTTGATTTATTATTTTCTAAACAAGCACTCTTAAAATACCGCATATATATATATATATATATATATATATATATATATATATATATATATATAGAAAAGAAGATAAATAAATAAAAGTATTAAATTTTTGTTATAGAAGAAACTTAAAAATGATGAAAAAATAAATATGATATTTATATAAATAAATGGCTACCTACTCGAAAAAATATACTAAGAAAAAGATAATATATAATCACAGACAGAAAATTTAAATTAGATATGTATGACATACGTATGTGAGGTAGCAAGAACATTTCACAGTTACTAATACTAATATTCTTTTTATAGAATTTATATTTCTTGCATAAAATACATGTAGAAAAAGTATAGCATGATATATTAGAGTATATTGAAAAATCTTTATAAATTATTTATTTAAAAAGAAAGTTTTGTTATTGACACGGATTATCTGAATTTTTTAAATTTCTTTAATCTTTAATGTTCTTCAATTCGTGTGTCCAATTATTGTTTATATTATTTGAAATCATTCTATTTCGACACAAAGACTTGTTGTACTCTTATTTGCGTGAAACATAAAACATTTTACATAAAATTATCTATATTTTTCCAGTTGCGGATGCTACTTTTACGTTTCGTACAAGAGAAAAATGTCGTAGAAAAAGCAAATTTCTTATACATTCGAACAATATGTATTTCAAGTACCAAATATTCGATACATCTTGTTCTTAATATTATTTCAAGGAAGAAAAGAAAAAAAAAAAAAGAATCGTATCCAGATAATATTATTGCTTTGAACGAAAATTATTTTAAAACCATAGAGACTTTTTACATCTCGATCTACTGAATTGGTTGGTTGAAAATTGATACTCCGGTGCGCATAGTGGAATGACTAGCACTCAGGATCGATCGGGTGAAAATGCTGCTGCACCTAACATTATCGACTAGCTGAGGACAAGAGTAGCACGAACCAATTCGAGGAAACAATACCGAGCGGATTAGTTTTCAATCACATACATTAATATATTTTAACCGCATCTTTTTAAATCTTTTTTATACCGTTCCTTTAACTCTAAATTGCGGACGCTAATTGATCTTTCTTTCCCCTCCCCCCCCCCCAGTTTTCAACGTAATAACCAGAAGGATACAAAACCCAAACAAAATTTACAGTATGAAAAATATGAGGATGAGTACGCTCGGCCTTCGGTCCGATTTCATAAATATCCTTTCTCTCTTTCTCTCGAAAATAAGCTTGTCCACGCATTCAAAGCCTTCGTTAGGAACAATGAAATAAAAGATGAACGCTCGGATTCTAATTGCAAAATTCATTTATTTTGCTCTACGAATGCAATCAAGAGTTCAGAGAGAACAGAACCGTCAGTGTTTTTTTTTCTTTCCCTGTACAGTGTATACCGTGTTATTTTTGGAGTCAGTGATACGTCATTCAAAGTTCGTGTAAGATCCGATGATCGTTGAACTTGATACGATGAAATAAAACTCAGTTTTGTGCCCTCGCCATGTAGTATACACACGCACGCCCGCACACATATTACACGCACACATTATTTAAAGAACATTGAAGAAATAGTTAACTACGGATGATTTCATATAACAGAAAAAGAAGAAAAGGAAAATCACGTAAAAAAGTACTTGGCTGAAGAAAGTCACGGAGCAGTATCTTGGAGGATACGAATCTTTAAGGATCTCCGTTGAAGGTTATCGTTAAAAAGTATCAATTAAGTCCATACATTCTCTCCTACACTTATATTGACATGTTACATAAAATAGCCAATGAATTACAAATAATAATTGCTAATCGATACGAAGCTATTGTTTATTAGTATTCCCTATCTTCGGTACTTAATGTATCGGTATCTAAGGTATTTTGAAAGGACGACAAATCTTATGCATACAATTTATCAAGTAGCTGTCCAATCTGTAAGCCGCGATAAAAACGTTTCTGAGGAATATTACGTTTTTCGATCCGCTTACAAAATCTACAACCATTATTACGTACGAGTTCAACTGATAAACTGTGTCACGAGTAAAAAT